AATTGAGACTTGAGACTTGAGACTTGAGACTTGAGACTTGAGACTTGAGACTTGAGACTTGAGACTTGAGACTTGAGACTTGAGAATTGAGACTTGAGACTTGAGACTTGAGACTTGAGACTTGAGAATTGAGACTTGAGACTTGAGACTTGAGACTTGAGACTTGAGACTTGAGAATTGAGACTTGAGACTTGAGACTTGAGACTTAAGTCTCGAGAGTCTGAGACTCTGATGAGTCTGAGCCCTGAGGACTGAGGACTGAGGACTGAGAAGACTGAAAAGTGAGATTTTTATTTCAGATTCGAGATACCGGATACGCGCTCTGCTCTCTCAGCCTCTACTCTCTTCACTATCTCTCTACTACGGTACTTTTATTTTAACTATTTACTATGTATTTAGCAGCTAGAGAGAGCGCTGCCTTTGAGTCTTGGAGAGCACGAGAGCGGGTCAGTGTCTCAGTGGGAAACTGGGAATGAATTGTAAATAGAATGACAATTGACAAGAGAAGACGAAGTGTTGCTGTCGGCCTGTCGTATCACTCGTATGATACATACATACACTGATACACAAGTTGAATTTTTTTTATCAAGAAAAATTGGACTTACTACTGCTATTTACTCTCCCTAGGGCTTTGAGTAGAGAGTAGAGACTAGGGAGCCGTACATAAATAAATGCATCTGTATCATACATATCATGAGAATCAGAGTCATTCAGAGAATCACAATACATAAGTTGTATTGTCGTTTGTCTACTCTCCTACTTTACTAGCTCTTATTTAAATTTGTATATTTTATATACTGTTAACTGTATAAGTGTATATAGTATATACTTATATATATATATCCTTGTGCAGTTTACGGTTTGGATTCTCAGATCGCGTGTAGTACATAAATATTAATCAACTATGAAAGAGATGGAAGCGTATAGGTTTGCATATGTGTTGATATCATTGCCTCTCATAGTCTTCTCGACATCTGCTGCCTTTCTAGGCTTTGTATCGTCTGAGTGGTATGTAGGGCCTAACTACAGTGTAGGAATATCGACTGCGTGTATCAATTACAAAACCGCTGAATTCTTAGGCAGAGATTGGATATACTGCAGCGATGTGAGTAGTTCCTCGTGGGCTAATACGTACGAGACGGCTATGTCAGGCCTACTTATGATTGCCATGATATTAGGCATGATCACTATACTGTGTCTGCTGACGAATCTGCTATTGTTCTGTTGTTGTAAGTACTATGCCGGCGGCGCAACAACGTCGTGTGCAGCAATACAGGGGGTGCTGATGATGATTTCGTCTCTTCTAATGGCAGTTTACTACAATTTCTCGTACCCCCCCTATACGACTGAGTTAGGCGTAACATATTACATAGTCATGAGTGGGGTAGTAGCATCTTTGGTATCGATATTTTTCATCAGCAGTGGAAAACCTAAGAACCGAAACTGGAAAACGACGTGGAGCGAGAAATATCTGCTGAAGGTATGAGTTATAAACAAGGTTGTGTTGGTGAGTTGTGACTGCACGAGTCGACAACACTTATTTTGTCACTAGTAGTCCTAAACTATGAAGGCGAACACACAATCATGCAGCGGTTAAAACCAATGACAGGAAAGATCCAAATATACACATCTGACACATAAGGCATGTAGGTATTAGCCCATACCCAAGCCCTGTTCTCGTAAGAATTCCCCGCCCCACTCGGGTGTGCGGTCATACATAACAGCGGCTATATCATCTATAAATGGTGATTGAGTGATAGATAATCTCCTGGAAACCAGATACCAGCTGCGTAGTTGGAAGGACATCTCGCTTGTATCGTGGACTACCTCCAGTACTGCATGCATGTTCAACAACCAGCAATTAGGAAAGCTTGTAGCCTTTGTCAGGCACGTGCTATTGAAAAATGAAATGATTTTCCCAACAGAATGATGCACCGTACTGAGGGTGGCTTATGTTTGCACACTTGTATCTATAACAAAGTATCAGCAATGAGCATCACGTACTACCTTTGCACATTTTATCGGAGGTTTCAGAATGACGTACCGT